CATTAGCGTGTTCCGGGCGCCTCCCACCTCACACGTGTCCTTGGCGTGTTCTTTGTATGTTCCAGATCTCTCGGGGCTGACGCTGCAGAGCTCAGGTGAGTCGGGACACGCGTGTTACATACGTGTAATATATGTGACCTTAGCATGTTCCCCCTCCCTTCACATGTTCCCAGTACCGCACACACATGACGTTAGCATGTTCCCGCACATGTGTGACCTTAGCATGTTTGCAGCCCCCCCGGCCGTCGCCATGTTGGTGAAGGACGAGTACACGCGTGACCGTAGCATGTTCCCCCTTTTTCCCCATATTCTCACACACGCGTGACCGTAGCGTGTTCCTTCCCTTCACGTCTCCCCCCACATGTATGACCTTAGCACGTTCCCATGCCCGCCCACGTATGACCTTAGCGTGTTCCCCCTCCTTTCCCACATTCCCATTCCCGCACACGCGTGACCGTAGCATGTCCCCCCCTCACTTTGCGCGTCCCCGCCCACGTGTGACCTTAGCGTGTCCGCAGCCCCCCCGGCGGCCGCCATGCTGGTGAAGGACGAGTACACGCGTGACTTCGAGGCGGCGCCCGAGGCCCGGGCCCCGCCCACGGTGCAGCACACGCCAGCGTCACGCGTGTCCTCCGAGGGCTACCCGGCCGCCGCCGCCATGATGGCGCCGGGCGAGGCCGGCGGCGCCAACTTCGCCGGGGTGCCGGTGGCGCCGGCGGGTGAGTTAATGAGCTTAATTAAGGGTTAATTAATTGGCGTGTGGGCTAACACGCGATTTACACGCGACAGGAGGCGGGAGAGAGGGGATTTGTTGGTTTGCGTGTCATTAGCGTGTGCGGAGGAACGCGGGAGTTGCGTGTGGGAACGGTCATGGGAAAGGGAGGGCGGGGACGGAAGGGGTGGGGTGATTAATATGCAAATTAGTATGCAAATTAGTATGTAAATTAGCACGGGTTTCGTAATTAATGTGGGAGTTCAATGGGAGAATGGTCAGGGGAAAGGGAGGGCAGGGTTGGAAGGGGTTTGGTCATTAATATGCAAATTAGTATGCAAATTAATGTGGATTTAATAATAAGGAGAAAGGGAGGGCGGAGGCGGATGGGGTGGGATCATTAATATGCAAATTAGTATGTAAATTAGTATGGGTTTCGTAATTAATGTGGGAGTTCAATGGGAGAATGGTCAAGGGAAAGGGAGGGCGGGGCGGAAGGGGTTGGGTCATTAATATGCAAATTAGTATGTAAATTAATGTGGATTTAATAATAAGGAGAAAGGGAGGACGGAGGCGGAAGGGGTGGGATCATTAATATGCAAATTAGTATGTAAATGAGTACGGGTTTTGTAATTAATGTGGGAGTTCAATGGGAGAATGGTCAGGGGAAAGGGAGGGCAGGGTTGGAAGGGGTTGGGTCATTAATATGCAAATTAGTATGCAA